ACTTTCAAGATTTTAAGGATCAGACTTGGAGCTGACAAGACACCGCAGGGCTGTTGTGGGCTACCTAGAGATATCCCAATAATAGCCTGTCCCCAGTGCCACACTGTCCCATGGCCTCCAAAGGCAACATGACACCAACAGCCAGGCATAAGGATGCATACCTGGAGTATCAGCACTTGACAGGAGGCAGGAAGATCAGAAGTACAAGTTCAGTCTCAGTTACATAATGAGTTCAAGGCCAGCCTGAGCTGCAGGAGACCCTGTCTCAAAAAACCAACCAAATGTAAAACAAATTCCATGATTTTTTTCTTCTCCAAGACAGGGTCTCTCTATGTAGACCAGGCTGGCCAGGAAGAATTCACACAGTTCTGGCTGCTTCTGTCTCCCAAGCGCTGGGGTTAAAGGCATGCACTACCGTGCCCAGCTCTTCACCAATAATTATTGGATGCCTGCTCTACCAAATACTCAGAGCTTCTCATACTGTGGGGTAAGAAGCTTTATGAGGTGCACTTTATGGGGTCACATAACTGAATGTGGGAGCTGGGAAAAATTTAACAACAGTGAAAAGCTTCTAAACTTACAGCAAACAGAATTTAATTCAAAATCAAATGTGTAAGCTGGGTGTGGTGGCACACACCTTTAGTCCCAACAATCTGGAGGCAGAAGTACACAGATCTGTGTAGGATCGAGGCTAGTCTGGTCTGCATAGTGAGTTCCAGGCCAGCTGGAGCTACAGGTTAAAAAAAAAAAAAAAAAAAAAAAAAAAAAAAAAAAAAAAAAAAAAAATCAAATGTGTAAAACCAGGCATGGTGGTCCACACCTGTAATCCCAGCTCTTGGGAGGTAGGAGCAGGAAAATCAGGAATTTGAGCTCCTTTTCAGCTACGGAGTAAATTTAAGGCCAGCTTGGGCTATATGAGGTCCTATCTCAAAAACAAAATAAGTGGGCTGGAGAGATGGCTCAGCAGTTAAGAACACTTGCTGCTCCTGCAGAGGACCCGGATTGGATTCATCAGGCGGCTCATAATCACCTGTAACTCAGTTCCAGGGGTATACAATGCCCCCTTTCCAACCTCAACAGGTACTGCATACACATGGTGCTCATACAAGCAGGCATTCACACATACACATAAATACACTTTTTTAAAGAATCAAACATGTAACAAATCTGAGATGCTTGTGGCAAGCCTTGCCCATACTGCACCCTGAAACTTCACTGCAGTCTGGTCCTGAACACACAACGTGTACAACTTATCATCAAAAGCTGCCTGAAATACATTCTGAATTGCAGTCGTTTTAATGTACATGCAAAGTTTTCCTGTCTTCTAGAAACATAACGGTTTAATTATGGAAAACAAGACCTTTAACAGTTTCCTATTATCAGTCTTCAGCATGGCATTATCAAATCAGCATGTATCTTTGAACGTATTTATTGTGTAAGATGTTTGATTTTAAAGATTGCTCTTGAGCCAATTGTGGTGGCACAAAGCTTTAGTCGTAGCTCTTGGGAAGCAGAGGCAGGCAGAGCTCTGTGAATTCAAAGTCGGCCTGGTCTACAGTGAGTTCCAGGCTAGCCAGGGCTACATAGGGTAAGACCCTGCCTCATAAAAAGGCATCATGAGTAGAAAAAGCTTAGGCAAGTCCTGAAGCCATGAACTGTTGCAGATTCTTGAGGCAACCATATGCCCATCTTGCCTAAACAGTTCTTGGTTACAATTGTTCCCCAGTGAAATTAGAGTGTTCTCATTTGCTCTCAAAGGTGTTTGTGTCTGGACAATAAGGTTACATGATCTCCCGAGAGATTCTTACCTATAGTAGATTGATACATCAAAGTCCCTGGGGTAGTATAATTAGCCTTTTGTCTGAGAAATTGTTGAGTGTCCTGTGCACCTGGTACTCCATCAGGAGCTGGGAATGCACAGGTGAATGAGACATGTCACTGGCAGAGGACCACCCCCGCCAAGATGTAACTGGGTGAATCAGATAAAGAACAGCTCAGTGGCAGATAATGCCCATGCGGTTATGGGTGCTGTCAGCTCCTTCCTTCCTTATACTAAGCAGAAGGGCTGGAAATGAAGCCATACCCTTTCACAGCAGCATCTGAGGCACCAAAAACTGAATCTTTAAAACTGGGATCCTTACCCACCTTTTACTATCTTTCCAGTTCCTTATCCTAACGTCCTTAACCTGTAGACGCTGGGGTACCCTGGATGCATCCCTGTGACTCGTCCTTCTGCACACAGGCTCAGTCTCAGGGTACAGCCCAGTCTCCAGTTACCAATATCCAAATCATCAAGTAACATCTCCATTTGGATCCCAGATAAATTTCTCAATCCTCTCTTAGCCTTACAGATGTTCTGTTTCCCACCCCTACCCAGCAACTCCTTCTCATTCATTTCTCCTAAATGCTTTCCCATTTAGGTAAAGGCAACTCAATTCTTCCAGCCACCTGGGTCAACTAGTTTGAAGTTGTCTCTGACCTGTCTTTTCCTCTTAAATACTATATCTGATCTTAGCAAATTCCTTTGGCTTTCCACTCAGTATACATCTAGAATCTGCCTTCTTCTTATCGCCCTCTGCTAATCACCATCTAGCCCTGTTTCTAGGTTCACTTCAGAAGCTTCCTTAAAAGGCCTCCCTGCCCTTCCCCCAACCCACTTGTGTTACACTTCATACAACCCCCACCTCACCAACTACCTTTTAAAAGACAAAAGAGTTGGGGCTGGAAAGACAGCTCAGCAGTAGGGTTCTTGCCTAACATGCTCCAGACTGGGTTCCATCCCAGGTATCAAAGCTAATTAATTAAAAACAATTTAATTAAATAAAAGACAAGTCTGACCTGCCAGTGGCTCCTCATCTCCCTTGAATTAAAAGCGAAGCCCTTCCCAGAGTTGCACAAACCCCACATAAACTGGCCAGGGATCACCTCTCAACCTCTCTCCTTCCGTAGTTTCCCCGTGTTCTAGCAGTTCTTCAAACACACTAGATCCTTGCTGTTCCCTCTCACACTATGCACTGTATTTGTTCTCATTTCTGCTCAAATAACACCTCAGTGAGACTTTCCCTTATAGTCCTTATAGTTTTACCCCCCCATCCTATCCCAAATTCCCTTTTTCCTGCCTTGCTTTTCCTTACAGTCTTATTTCTAGCTAATAGAGTTAGTAGCTAAAATACAGGATAGCCAGTAAAAAATTTTCTTAGTATTTTTATTATTTTTGTATGCATGTATTGCCTGCATGTAGGTAAGTGCATCCATGTTGTGCAATGCCTGGGGAGGACAGAAGAGGCTGTCGGATCAACTGGAGTTACCAACAGTTGTTAGCTGCCATGTGGGTGTTGGGATTCCAACCCAAGTCTTCTGCAAGAACAGCCCGTGTTCTTAACTGCTGAGCCATTTCTCCAGATCCTACATCCAGTAAAATTTGAAGTTCAAGAACACTTGAATGTTTTTTGGTGTAAGTATAGCCCACAGGATACTTAGGACATACTTATGAAATCAAAGGTTAACTATGCTGCTTTTATTTACCACATCTGGCATCCCGGCCATCTAACAATCTATGCATTTCCCTTATTTATTCATTGTTGGTGTCTACCCCACCTCACCCCAATTTAGCCCTTAGAATGTCAGTCCCATGAAGGCAAGTATTTTTCAGTCTGCCTTTTTCACCACTGGATCCCCGGCAGCTGAAACAGTAACTACTATGTAACAGAAGCTCAATATTCATTGAGCTATGAATAAATGAACCGAACCATCTGACCATCCCAGCCTTGGAAACATCAGTGAATTACTCTGGTTGTTTCAAAGTTCTTTCTTAAACCGATCCCATTCTAACTGCCCCCTCTAAAATCTGGGTCATTTCTTTCAGGACAGGCCACAAGGTTGAATTCCTGCAGTATGACCCCATCCTATCAAAAGAGGGGGCTGGACCCCAACAACCCTAGGGCCTTCCAGCTGAGCTCAAATGCTTTGAAGCGCAGACTAACTAGATGCCCTCAGACTGAGGGATTCCACGGTATTTAGGAGGCAGGCTTCAGGCGCTTCGCCGGGGGATTTCTCTTTCCTAATTGTGTTTTCTCCTGCCTGGCTTGGTTTTGCATTCCCAGTGTGGATGAGTCATGTGCTGTTTCCCTTTTTCATTTTAGAACACACACACCTTTTCCCTTGTGCATAATCCCCACTCCCACGCGCTGCCCTGCACAATCCTCCACCTCCCGCACATCTTTTAGTTACTAAGTGGCCCCTGTGCGAACCTGGATGGGGGGGGGTGCTCAAGAGTGTGTGGTCGGTGCCCCGCCTGCCTACACCGCGTGATGCGCGCAGGCATTTCAGCCTCAGGAGAGCAGAGCAGTCTCACCACCCACCCTCCTGGCAACCAGATTTCTTTGGAACAATATAAGCTTCTGGAAATTCCCTACGGAAAAGACAAGTCTATTGTAAACACAACGAAAAAAGGAAACTGCCTGGGGAAACTATAGCAAAAATTATCTAACAACTCCCAACTTTTAAGTTTCAAATAGTCCTATCTATCATCCGAATGTGTAATCACTCCCCGGGCGCTCCGATCTGCACAATAAAAGCACACTTAAACTCCAACTTTACGCTAAAACGCTACAGAACTTTGCATCCCGCACGCAGCGGCCTCACAGAAACCTCCGACCAAAGAACCGATCCTTTGCGTCCCGGAGGTGGCCGCGCAAAAACTGCCTTTCTGCGCCTCTGGAAGCATCGGAAAGCGCAGGGCGATCCACACGTCAGTGCGCTGAGCCCCGCACACCCTCCGTGCACCTCCTCCTTTGCTACTTAGGAAACTCATAAAGTGCAAGAAATCACAGCTCTGGGTCAGTTTGAAAATACACCACCACCCCCCTCCGAACACACGCACACACACGCCGAGAGTAGCGCGTTCCCGGTGCCAGCCGCCGGTGTCCAGAGCCACAAAGCGGCGCAGGGCGCGCGTGCGGGGAACCGGGTAACTCCATCTTTGAATGACGGGTGCTTACCGTGCATCTGCCTGCTGTCGGCCGGAGAAGGCAGGCTCGGCTCGCGTTTCTGGCCTGGGTTTCCTTCCATTGTCCCCGCCGGCCGCCCGGGCTCCTCGTTCCGGAGAGTTCGGCTCTCAGTGTGGAGACCTTGCAGAAAGCTTGGAAGGGGGCCCGGGGGTGGGGCGGAGGGGCCGCAGAAACCCCACCCCAGCCGGGCGCCGCTGCGGTGCAAAGTCTCCGGTGCCCGGGAAGAGCGCGTTCCGGTGCCCCACCGCCCCCGCCCGGGTCCCAGCGTGCCCGCCACCCCCCCGCGACCCCAGGCTGGGGGCCGAGTCCCGGGACCGCTGTCTCCGCCTCCGCGCTCAACAGGTGACGGCCCTGGTGACCTGGGACGTGGCCTGCTGGTCTCCCCCGGCTCGAGTGAAGCAGACACCACCCAGGGGAGGGGCAGGGACCTGTGGCCAGCCAGACTCCAGCTCTCCCACCCCAGGAGCCCCGGGTCCAATGAGCCCCCGCCCCCATCCTCTGAGTAATAAGCAGCAAACTGCCCCAATCTAAGAAATCTAAAAAGTTTGTCAACGAAAAAGTATCTGCTAAGTGTGGTAAAACAAACAGGTTGCCGCTAACTTGGTAGGGGATGGATTAGCATTCAGAGAGATACGGTAATTTCCAAAGGGTCACCTTCAATCATCTCCTCACCTGGACTTCTAAAGTTTATACTCAATCACCTTCACTCTCTGTGACTCCTTTCCTCCCCTGGCGCCTGTGAGCGCGCGTGCGTCCACACCCATACACACATCATTCACACACAACACACACATACCATAAACACCCACCCACAACCACTATTCACACACACATCACAAACACACCTACTTACCATAGACATGTATAAACACCAAACACACACACACCACATACCACACACTACACATATCCTCACACCCCACATACTCCACACGTAGCACACTGCACACACCCACACACCACACAGATACACTATATACCACACACACAAACACAGCCCCCCTAAATCTCCCTTGTAACACACAGGCCCCTCTTGATCACAAATCTGAAAAGTGACCCAGTAACTCAGCCTTCTGATTCTCTCAAGTTAATTACTTTGAAACACCTGAAAGGGAATTAAAACGCTTTTCTTCCGATGGACAGAGTTACATCCAACATACTTGTTCCCCTTTTAAAACTACCTACAAATATTTATTTTGTTCACTACCCAGTCCTTGAAAAACTGGCAAATCTCCCAGAAAGTGAAAATAGTGGGCACAATGTCCACACAAAAAGGATGGGAAAATAATCTAAGCAGCATTTGCCCCTACTCTTTCAGAGATCTAAAAAGAACCCAGTAGCTGATGGGAAAGGTGTGATGTCTTCATCTGCGGCCCCAGATCATTGCAGGGAAGGACAATGCCAGCCTGCCAGCCATACCTTGACCCAATTTACAGCCCATTCAGACAGGCTTTGACATCGATTTAGAACAGGAATGTGCGCAGAACAACGGCTGGCCTCCGGGCTGGATTGTGACCTTGAGTCACCTGTGTCCTGGCAGCAGGAGGGACATAGTTTGGTCATTTGGGAGATAAAAATGCGGAAGCCTGCCATGGGCAAAGAATGTGTGCAGATTATGGTGTGGGGGAGGCCCATGATGGGAGGGAAAGAAAAGAGCTCCTCAGTTCCTAATAGGATTTTTCTGGAAATTCAAGAGGATGTATTGGTCTTGTAGAAGATCAAGCAGTGCCCTGGGAGGCAGATACCAGCATGGGTTTACAGAGCGGACAACTGGAGGTCTCCACAACCTTGCAGCAGAAGCACCTGCTGATCTTGCTTATGACAGGAAGTAACTGCACCACTATTCCCATAATCCTGACCAATTATTTAGGTATAAATGTTCATGAAGGAAGTTGTACAAAATGGCATAGGTTTGTAATAACAGCTACTGAGGCAGCAGGGTGGCAAGTTCAAGGCCTGCCTAGGCAACTTAGTGACATCTGTCTTTAAATAAAAAGTCAAAAGGTCTGAGGATGGAGCTCAATGGCAGAACATTTGCATAGTGTGCTCAAGGCTCCAGCACCATTGAAAAACAAATGGTCCCATAGGAAGAACTTCCTGTGTTAGGCCTCAGGTCAGATTGTACTGGTCGTCTCTCTGTGTGTATGTTCATGTGAACATGGGTTCCTGTGCCTGTGCACACATGGCAGCCAGAAGAGGGCACTGAGTGTCCTGTCACTCTCCACCTTATTCATTTTGAGTCAGGGTCTCTGTGTCATGTTTTTTAGGTAGGCTGCCAGCCAGCCAACCCCAACAATCCCCTGTCTCTACGGCTAGAAGCTAGGGCTGCAAGCATGCACAGGATGCTAGCTTGCTATGTGGGTGCTAGGATCTGAACTCCAGTCTTCATGATTGTATAGCAGATGCTCCTAATCATTTGGCCGTCTCTCTGGCTGCCACCCAAGTCTTACATAGCTGTTGTCTGTCTTCAAGTTACCAGTGGCAACTGGAGGAGCCCTACAGCACTGGAATGCCTGACTAAGGGCTTTGATACTATCCAACCTGCTCTTCTATGGGGAGACACCCTCACAGCAGCAACTGCCTGTCTCTTGACACAGTACAGAGACAAGCCCAGGATGAAGGCAACAACAGCAGCCAGCAACCCCAAACAGCAGCCTGCCAGGAGGATGCATTCTACCAGCTCCATCCAGGTAGGAAGAGATCCATTTGTGGATGGGAACCATGTCCTCCTGCCGTTGTTGAGAAAGCATCAGAGCAGTCCTCAGGCCTCTCTGGATCGCTAGATAGGCAAAACAGGGGAAGCTCTTCCACACCACATCTGCACTTTCAGGCTCCAAGCAGCCCAAGGAGTCCCCAGTCCCCCAGCTGCCCACCATGCTCAAGCAGCAGACACTTCTCCCCCAGGGACAAAGTAGACACCTCTGTAGATATTCCAGGAAGCAAAGTGTTTGAGGAATGCAGAAAACAAACAGGCAGAATGACACATGTATTTACAGTGCAAACACAATGTCTTGCATGACCAGATTCTGGCTTTCTAGAGGGAGAGCTTCTTTGAAGTACTGGACAGTTGCTTCTGCTTAAGAATAGGAACCAAGTGCTGAGTGCTGGGCAGTGGCACACCCCTTTAGTCCCAGCCTGGAGCTGAAAAATGTTTTCAGAAGACCCACCACTACTACTTCACAAGTCTCTCCTCAGGCACACAGACCAACCTCATTATGGACTGCTCAATGACTTGTCAGTTTCTGAGGAAAGCTCTAGCTGTACTCTGCAATCTACATAAACTTGGAAGTCAAATTGTCATCCCAGGTAGTGGGGAGATGTTTTTCGTTCTAGAACAAACCACTCTAAACTAGTATAATTTTAAAATTTGATTTCCAGTTGGTTTTTGGTTTTTTTTTTGTTTGTTTGTTTTTTTTTTGGGTCTTTTTAGGACAGGGTCTCCCTATATCTCCAGCTGTCCTGGAACATACTATGTAGACCAGGCTGGCCTTGAACTCACAGAGATCCGCCTGACTCTGCCTGGGATTAAAGGTGTGTGCCACTACACCCGGCTGATTTCTAGTTTTAAAATTTGCTATTACCATCCAATCTGCCTGTTGTAGTTTGAAATTTGCTGGGAAAGCAAAAACTTGTAATTTAAATTTCCTCCAGTCATCTTGAGAGCTACAGTAATGGTCCTGGGGGCTAAACCTCCAACTTCACTTCTGTGACCCAGGGAAGGTGTAAGTCGTTCTTGGTTAACAGCATCATAAACTGTCATTCTTGGCTTAAATGGGCTTATATACACATAAAAAGTGTTATTCAGAAGAAAAACAAGGATGAAGAGAAGACTGCCAGGAAGAAAAAGGTGAGTTTTAGTCATAGCTAACCCATTACAGAACTGGACTATTGGTTTTGACAATGCATCTTATGTGGCATCTGCCAAGATGGGAATTAATCCCCTAAATCACAAGCAATTGTGGATGATTTATCACCAGGCCTATTTAATTACAGCGAAGTGGAAAACATGTCAGCTTCTCTTATATAAATTTTTCAAGAGAGAAATCATTGTTAAAGTCAAACCTAAGTGGAATTTTCCTCATGTATGTGTTTAACTTTTTTCTTTAAATTTTGCTAAAAGTAGGATAGCTTAAAATAACATCAGGACACAAAATAAATAATTAATGCTTGCAGAAGTCCTGAAATGTACTTCTTAAATATATTGACGACTGTGAGAATCAAAACAAAGTAAAAAACCAGCGAACAAACTGTTTGAAAGGGAGGCTTCATGTTGGGTAAATATCACGCATCCACATTTCTGATGGTGTGTGTCACCTCTAAGTCAAAAAGAAAGGACTTTTAACAACTGGGAAAACACTCACTGAAATGGACCTGTTGGAGAATGTGAAATGTAGGTGCTCCTCCCATTCTAATTTTGACAGCAAAGTGTCAGGTGGCTACGGTGACCTTATACTTAAATATAAACCAGAGCACTTGGGAGAAGGGAACACTAATAACCATCAGAACTAGACAGTTAGGAACCTTGACTGTTTCTGGTAAACCAGCACAGATGGTCACCTGCATTTGATCCAAGATAAGCCCTGTGTATGCCTATGGTTTCCAAACATTAAATACCAGTCTTTCTTGTCAAACACTGTAACTTTGGTTTAGGACAAGGAATTCAAATCTTTTAATCTATCCCTCCGCCCCCCAACCTCAACACACACACACATACACACACACACACACACACACACACACACACACAGGAACGAGAGAAAACTTTGTTTACATAAAAGTCCTGCTGCATTTCCAGAAGCTGACAGTCTGGGGTCTGGGGCAGCAGAGCCCTTCCCTTTCATTCATCTTCTTTCCCCTTCTCCTTCATTTCCTTTAAAAAATATTTTATTTATTATTTTTTATGTGTAAGAGTGTACTGCCTGCATGTAAGTGCATCCATGTCCTGCAATACCCAAGGAGGTCAGAAGAGGGCACCAGATTCCCTAAGACTAGAGTTATGGACAGTTGTTAGCAGCCATATGGGTGCTGGGAACAAACCTGGGTCCTGTACAAACACTGCCAGTGGTTTTAACACTGAGCCACCCCTCAGCTCTCCTTCATTTCCTTTGCACTGATTTTTTTTTTTTTTTTTTT